TGCCTGCGAACCCTGAAAGGCCATAGTGATTGCATCAGCTCAGTGGCCTTTTCATCTGATGGTGCTCGCGTTGTTTCCGGCTCCCATGATAAGACAGTTAAGATCTGGGATACCAGCAATGAAGATGGAGCTTGCCTACGAACCCTGGAAGGTCATAGTGGATGGGTTATGTCAGTGACGTTTTCGTCTGATGGTGCCCATGTTGCTTCCGGATCTCATGATGACACAATCAAGATCTGGGATGCCAGCAACGGAGCTTGTCTCCAAACCTTTGAAGGTCAAGGATGCTCTGTGACATTTGACACTATTACTTCACATTTCCGTACTGGAATGGGGGTTCTTCCGTGGGATAACATATCGAGTACCCAGAAAAATACAAATATATGCGGAATCACCCCGTGTCAAACCTATGCTTTGAACATCGATCAGACGTGGATCACCTGGAATGGCCAGAATGTACTATGGCTGCCAACAGAGTACCGCCCGTCATCCTCAGCTATAAAATCAAGCACTATGGTCATTGGATGTCAATCAGGTCAGGTTCTAATATTTAACTTCTCCGACAAGGCGCCTTTATAACATTAATCATTTCTCTGACGGTCAACGGCTGTCGATGTTGGCAGACGTTGCCAACAGAGCAATATGAGCAATGATGAGCCCCTTGCACATGTGATCACATGATGGATGTATAATTTTCCTTTGTCTTGTCAGTTGGTTTCCTTTCTTCTTCAGATTCGATATTCTTGCCAATAGTGTGACGGTCTCGAACAATATGAGTCTATTGGTAGAACTATCTAACGAAATATTTGTGACGGTCTCAAGCAATATGAAATCCATTGGTAGATTATCTGGCGAAATGCTAGCATGAGGAAAAAAAAAAAAAAAAGGCGCTGGGTCTGCCAGCGCTAGACTATATAATGCGCAAGGGGTTCTTTCTCCCTAAAGCAGGACAAAGGAATCAACAAAGGAATTAAACCTGTCATGTGACTGAGAAAGTACTCACGCTATGACAACAAGCAAATCCCGGCTGATATATCATGCCGGCATCGCAGGGAATGAGCTTGCTGATGAACAAGCAAAGAAAAGAGCTAGATCTATCCCACAGACCAACACCCCTCCAACAAGATATGCCTGGGCTCGCCGAACGTTGAAGGAGGAATTCTGGCGGAGATTTCAATCATACTGGACTGAGAACGCGCCACAGCAATATCACGATCTCTCCATCAGCCTGGAAAAACGACCCCATGAACTATTCCTCCCTAGAGCCACCCTCGACCGGATACTTGCAGCCCAGTCAGGCCATGGAGACTTCGCGCTATATCATGAACGCTTCGGGCACGAAGATGCCAAGTTGGAGTGCTCCTGTGGGCGCCCAAAGACCTCCCACCACTTCTATTACTGCTGGAAAGGTCAAAAGACAGCCCCACAGCCATGGGGAAGCCGGCACGTGGATGAGATTCTGCGCTCTAAGTCAGGAACAAGGGATCTCCATGAATGGATACAGAGGTCTCACTCTTACAACATGATATGCCCAGCACATTGACCTCAAACCCCCCCCCAAAAATAATCTTCCTCTCCCTTTTCACCCTCTTTCTCTCTCTTTTCCTACCCCTGAATGAATGTAAAGGGCTGTCTATGCAGCCCAAGAACCTCCAGCAAGTTCCTGCGAGGGAGTCTTCGCCAGTGTATGATAAAATTAGCTTAGCTACCAGATAGGCGGTGGCGCTCCGCCCGTCATATGTTCCGTTTCGGGACCCCGCGGCACGTGATCTTATTTGACGCGCGACCGAATTTTTGACGTAATAGTTACTACTACTACTCCCAGCTGATATATATATTTTGCGAACGCAGCGAGCATATCTTTCTCTTTTATAGAGGTTGCGAGGTTACATTTCAATTGAAGAGGTCAGGTAAAAGATCTAATTATCGAATAGGCATTATATTCTAGTTAACGGTTTGTTCAATGATGATGCTGACGAGAATGAAGATGGGTAATGACACTGACGCCGACGCTGAGGGATATACAGAAAGGGAAAGGCAAATAGAACGGCAAAGTAAGATAAACCAGAAGAGAAGAGATGGTAGAAACAGACATGACCTATGTATGATAGATGAATAAACTTGGGGATATAACATGCAACTTTTGCCTTTATACCGCCTAGATATCTGTCGGAGGGTGTAGCCCTCATGGTCTGTTCGGTTTGTAAGTAAGTCCCAAGGACCTGCCTTGGAACGATTGCATGGTAAAACACTATCCAAACTAGTGAAGACTGAATAGTGGTATAACCCTCGGCGGGGGAAAAGAGCATCATACAACAGTATGAATAGCTCAAGATAGTCTCACTATATCCAAAATGAAATAAACAAAATGGGTGCAAAAAGCAAGCGTCTCTCATGTCTTCGTTGAGAGGCTGACATGATTTTCGTCTTCGGCTTTCTTCTCGGGAGAACCGTTGTTGTCGTCTGCAGGGGTGGAACCAGTTCCTTGCTTCGCCTTGTCACTGACAGGAACGACAACTGGTTGCTTGTCGTTGTATTCTTTGGCTTCCTCCCCATTGGTAGTAGCAGTCTTGTCCGTTTCTCCTGGGGCCTGTTGCGTGGGAGTCGTATTCTGGGATTCCGTCGACTCCGAGCTGATGTACACGTCGTTCTGGTTCTCCGTCGTGTCCGGTTCAAATTCGTCGTTCAAAGACGTCAATCCACCCTCAATGTCCCGGAGTAACCGAACAAACTCCTCGGGGACCAAGCCACTCTCACCAGACTTTGGGTCTTCCGCTACAAGCCAGCCGTGCCCGTGTCGGTATGAGACGAGGATCACCTGGCCTTCGACTAACGGCAATTCGTTCTCATGTTCTCTCGTAAAGTCGAAGAGTGCCACTGCTTTGCCGTGCATTTCTTCGTCAGGACACCCGACAGCAAATTGAAAGTCGCGGGCGTACGGGTCGTCGTCCTCTGACTCAAAGCCCATATCTCCCTCGTAGCTTTGCGGGTTGACATCTGTATCGCCAACCATCAAGTGAGAATAGTGGCTCTCATCAGCCGGATATGTGATATACTCGCCTCCTGGCCCGTCGTCTGACGAATCTCCGCCATTCACATAATAAGTTTCGCTGCCGTCCGCGTTCATGCTAACCAACGTTCCGCGCTCCGGGTCATCCGCGACGTAGCGAGATGGGATGCTACGCCCAGGACTCCTACCGCGCCTCCCAATCAAAACGGTCCCAGTCGACTTGTTTTTCCGGTGACGGAACACGGGGCTATGCAAGTCTTCATCTTCACTATACGGAGGACCATCGCCAAAGGACATTGCGGGAAGTTGTTGATGTCCATAGCTGTTTTCGGTGGTCCAAGGCTGAGTAGACCATTGACCGCGCGAACTGTCCCAGGGCGCGGGAGGATCTGAGAGGCGACGCTGTTCACTCACTGGTGTCGACACAGTGGACGCGCGAGGGGGCAACGGCCCGTAGTGAAGCGGGTGAATCGGGGGGTATGCGAAGTCGCGAACCAGAGCATACGGCAGACTGGAATGGAATATGGGGAAAACATGCGATCCGGGGCGCGAACGGTTTTGAGAATTGTAGGAGACGTTCGAGAACGTGGATAGACGATCCTTTGCGTAGGAGGATTGTCGCTGATTGGACGGCCGCTCCGTGACAATTGGCTGCAGAGTTGTCGTCAAGTGTGTCGGACTCTGCTGCTCCGTGGGAGGCGGCGAGCTAGGGGTCATGGTCGTGGTAGTTGTCATTGGATCTTGTGCGTCACGAGGAATAGCGCGTGGAAGAAACGACGACCGGATATAACCAGATTTGTCTCAATTTATCGAGGCCCAAAAGAAAGTCGGGGAGAATCAATGCTAGGGATCGTTTGTTCACTGGCAACGATAATGACACCCCTAGATTCGCATTGCGATGCGTCCACCACAGAAAACCAAGCAGTATGTAGAGACCAAGCTCTAATAACAATGACAGGAAAAGAAGAATGCGTTGAGTTAAAGGAGCGACGTTTCCAATTGCCAAAAACAATGCGAAAAACAACCGGCGCGAATAAATTCGGTATGGAACCACGACTGCGACAGTGCTGAGAACTAAATGGCCAGGAAACAAAAATAAGATAATAATAACAATAAACAGCAGCTCCGGGCGCTCTCAAGAAAGAAAATAAGTGGCTTCACTATGACTCCGGTCGATCGGTCGTGGGACGTTCGTGTAGTGATTCTGAAACGAAACGCAGTAAGACGGACAGAGTTTCTTTGCGCTGAAGAGAAATCTGTATCGAGATTTGTCAGGTTCGAGTGGCAGATAGGTAGTATTCTAAATTTAGCAGCACGTAAAAGTGTCAGAGTAGTAGCCCGTTATGTAAGAGAGGATTAGGAAGAAGAGGGGAACGGAGAGAGAAGGAAAACAGAAGAAAGTGGGATGAAATGGAAGAGGGGCCTCGAAGAAGAAAACGAAAGAAAATGAAAAAAAAAAAAAAAAAAAAAAAAAAAAAAAAAAAAAAA